TATATAATTTCTAAAATTTAACAAATATTTTTTTAAGTTAAGAAATTATATGTAACAAAATATATTTCTTTCATTTAAAGAATTTTTTTCTAATGTACATTACCAATTTAAATTTCGATTTTCTTATTTCTTTATTAATTTAATAATTATAAATAATTATATTTATTTTTTTCATGTGCAATATTTATAGAAATATTTACAAAATATTAATTTTTTGTTTACAATAAATATTATGGAAAATATTTATATATTTAGATATTTCTATATTTTCGTTTCTTCTACGTTAAAACTTAAAAAAAGATTTACTGAGAGTTTCTCAATACGTATAGAGAAAAAAGAATTACTTCATATATCCCTCCGTAGTTTCGAACTCGAACAACCTCATCTGTTCCGCTTGGTCCTAGTCCTAGTCTTGGTAGCTACTGGATCACTTTGATAGTAAGAGAGTTAATAATGATTTTAATATCTCATACGATATCTTGCTGACTTGTACTTATACATGTACTGTTATATTTCATACAACCGCTCGTGTGAAGATAGAACGGATTAAATTGAATAGAAAAGTCATGTATCATTTTGCAAAATTCGCAATAGTTGACGAGGAATGAATTATTCTCTGTGAGCTAATGAGCGCACGTGAATCAGTAGGCCAAACTCCGTGTAAAGAAAAATGGTTTACTTTTGAAGATGACCGTTGTCGCGCGACAACGCGCCGCTGTTCGTATCTACATCGCGCTATACTTTGATTATATGTACATATGCATGATTCTACATATTTACATATAATTATATATACTTCTGCATACTTATACATTAGTATACATAATTATACAAAGTAACAAATTCGCAAATCGCACATTCTGTGTAATTATATATTATTATATCTCATTATGCATAAGTATGCATACGTTAGTATATATTTATACAATTTTATATAGGTATATATCTTTATATATAATTATATCTAGGTGACATCAGGCAACATCATACAAAATTATGTATAAAGTCTTAGAAACTTATATATAATTGCATGACGCATTATATATATATTTTTATATATTTTTGTCAAATTATATAAATAATAATTATTATAATTTTATATAATTATATATAATTATGTATGAAAAATTTTTCATCGGGTTTCGATAAAATACAACATTTAATATATGAAATATAAAGGTATGTCACTTTAGGAGGCCTATGTCGCTTTTGGCTACTTTCCTCTATATGGATTTTGATTTTCTATATGGATTCCTACATGGATTTCGAATTCCTAGCTGGATTCTTATATAAATTTTAATTTCCTACATGAATTCCTATATGAAACCCTATGGATTTTAAATTTCCTGTATAGATTCGCATGGATTGCTGTGGGAATTCACCTAGAAATTTTCAACAGGGATTCGTATTTCGATTCTAGATATTCTCGAATCAAGTAAAGAACGCGAAAAAAAGAACGATAAATTGCCCAAAAATAAATGGTGCAGTTTTTGTTCATCAAGTGCAGATAAAGAAACCTGTTATTGCTGTGCAATGTGCGAAAGACTCGCGTGCGACGAACACCATACATCTTTTTATAACGATTGTTCCATGTAAAGACTGTTTTTGTAACTCTGTATGAATAAAAATATTGACATTACTTATATTACTAGATAAAATTACTTGAACTTCAGGTCTCAAAGAATTATACTTTTTGAAACCGCTGTACTTTTTTGAATATGTATACACCGTTTCGAAAGATCATAATCAAAAGTACATAAGAAAAAGATTTTATATTGATGTATTACAAAGTTATGAATTTTTGAACAAATTCCTATTTTTGTTGAAACTGCTTCCGAATTTTCATTTTTCCTAATTAAGCTTGTAAACATTTAATTCAAGTAGTACTAATTATACATTAAAAAAATTATACATTAAAACAGAGACTTCAAAAAGTATTCCAGAATTTTTTTCAGATTTTTTGAAAGCTTAGAACAGTTAAAAAAATAGTCATGGACAAAATAAATCTCCAGTGTGCCCACGAAAGATGCGAAAATCAAGTGTGCCCACGGAGGATTAAAACAACATATGTACTAGAGGAATAATGGTTTAATAGAAATTGCATTGGGTAAATATGTTGGACAATAATTTCTTCAATAGATATCTAAGTAGATGTATTTTTATAAAACATAATTACTTTAATTTTTTAATAAAAACACAATTTCCTTTACAGAATTCAATTTTTATTGCAATGCTATATATTAATAAAATATTGGATAATTGGTGTGTCGGTAAAGTACAAGAAAATTATATGTGAAAAGTAATTTTTGAAATATAATTTTATACACATTTTATTGTAAAAAATAAATATAATTCCATTAAAAAAAAAAAACAGAGATTTTCATCAATTATTACTTGACGAAATATTAGACACAGTTACACTAAACTGGTGGTAAGCTAATTAACAATTAAAACATGTATCTTGATTTATATATTTTGATGTTTAGTTTACTCTATTATTTAGCTTACCATACAGTTGATGCAGCCAAGTCTTGTAGCCTCATCATTTTCACAAAAAAAGTTTTATTTTCAAATTGTATAAAAAATTCAGTCTCAAAATACTTTTGTAAAAAGTAAGACTCTTATTTAATATTTTATATGTATATTGCGACCAAACTATATTGCAAATATGTCTAAACAATTCATACTCTACAACAGAAATATAAAAAATTAGTATAAATCTTTAGACAAAGTATAAAGTAAAAAATACTATAAATAACAAATTTAAATAGCCATATACCTTATTTAGTGGTTTTTGTGTCAAATTAATTTTCTATTATTACTATAAATATAATCTGACCCAGTAAACACAATAATATAACAGTTACATTGTAATATAACGAAATTTAATGTGCAATATAGCATGTTTGTTACATGTAACGTACACGTTAGTTGTAATATAACATGTTTGTTACATGTAACGTACACGTTAGTTGTAATTTCCTATTCAAACAATATTGCAGCTATATAACAGAAATATAACGTGTTACTAAAATGTTATATAGCTGTTATACATATTGCTGAAATGTTATATAGCTGAAATATAGATTATTATTTCTCAGCAATTATAGGTATTTAATTCTAAAGCATCATCCTAAAACCATTCTAGATGTTTAGTATTCCAGCATGTCCTCAGACATATTATGCTGTTGGAGTTATTTTTACTTATTCATTTTCATCTCTCTGTATATACAAATAGAAGGAATTACTACTGTAACAGCAATTTCTATTAATCAAAAAGTGTACGACTTCACTATAAAAGTGGACTCCATAATACAAGTTGTACCATCTCATCATCATTCTTATATATATTAATTCATCGTATTTTATGTACGAGAGACACGAGAAAACGGAAGCCATCTAGCAAATGATTCGATACCTAGATATAAGAATGTTATATAATATAGATGTAATGCAAATAAACACTTGTTATATAACCTATTATATTTTAGTTATATTGGTATACAATTATAACTTGTAAATAACAGAAAATTATAACAGTTCTAAAAGAACTGAGATTGCAGTTATAAAAGAAAATTATGTAACTTTAATATTAATAATATATAACATCTGTTATATTACGTGTTACTTTTATGTTATATAATAGTTATATTCTGTGTTTACTGGGGACTGACGTAAACTAATGTTATACAGTCTTTAATTCTTTTAACAAATGAATTGAACAATTAAGATATATATTTTAAGATAAATACATAATCATTAAACATGTCTAAATTATAGCAAAACTGTAACTTGCAACATTCTTCAAAAACTAACCACGTTTTAGCCAGTTTATAATATAGCTGATTATTACCAAATTATCAGCACTTATCAACAAATTTTCTCATTGACCTTTGAAACTTTATAATATGAATAATAGAATCGGCCGAAATGCAATGAATTCAGCCAATTCGTGATAGCTGATTTTTGGCTTTGATATACACATATATATATATATATATATATATATATATATATATATATATATATATATATATATATATATATAAATACACACACACACATACATAAATATATACATAAATTATGTGTGGCACACATGCATACACAAATATGTAATATTCCATTTACAAAAGCCTTTTCATTCCTAAAATATTTACAAAAATTATTACTATACAATATATATTTGTGTATCATGCAAGTTCTATTAAATTAACTTTTCCCTAATATCATTTTGGAAACTGTATGCTTAATTAAATTTAATATAGCTCAATATTCCATTTTTGCAATCAGTATATGATACAAATATTAATACATATAACACACTAATATTTTGATAGCCACCATTGATTTTACAATAAACATCTTGTATATAAATTAAAATCTAGATTTATATAGATCTCTTATATCATTATATCTGCAAACTGTTATTAAGAAATATTTCTTTATAAGGCAACAGCCGCTAGCAAAATTAAGTTATGTATATGTCACAGCGGCAGTCAAAGTTAATATATGTGTAATATTATTATTAATATATAACATATATATGTATTATATATACTTTATGTATATAAATCAACATAGTCTTATATTTGTGTAATCCTTCCTAATTTGATTATACATGATTATGCTGTTCAGCATTATTTCCAAATTCAATTTCTAATTGTAATCTATAATCCATGGCGACAAAGACAATGACCAGAAGCACTGGTAAACGGAATCTCGACTGCCAACCTAACTTCAACATAAACATCAAGGAACGATGTAGAGTGCCACCACTTCCCAGAAAAATTTCAGATGGTAGTTTCTGCATGATGATCAATTCCTTTTCTACAGATGTATGACTTAATCAAGAAGCAAATATGCTTGGCAGGTTAACGTTCTGCTACCACAATGTGTGTACGTTAATATGTATAATAATCTGCTTTAATAACAGATATTCTGTAATCTATGATTTAATTTATTCTTCCCAAGCACATCAATAAGTTCAATAGCATGACCAAAGAACTTGTATTTAAACAAGTAACTCTGGGTTAGCAGTCACATGTTTGACAGAGATGTGCATTGACGTCTGTCTATCTGTTAAAATAAAAAGAATCATTGTGAATTCTATACATATATAAATATTATTCTGGATTAAAGTTACGATATGACGAGTTATTAAATATAGCGCAACAATGTTAGGCTATTGATCGCTGTTCATCAAACTTCTACGTTGACACTTGACGTTTCGCATGCAAGATATCTGTATACATTCGAAAACAGATATATACGTACCTGCGTATTGACGCATATACATAATTCTCTTTTTTAAAAAACCGGTAAATGGATAATGGATGTACCGTCCATAGAACACTGTTACGGTCACGCTTGCAATTTAGATATAATCACTACTGAACTACAATAATACTGCGCCTCCTCATATAACCCGAGAAAATAATAAGGTTTCGATTGGAGAAACGTTTCGTTTGATGTTGCGAATATCAGATAACAACGTTTTGCTCTTTTAGACTGTACTAAGACTATACTGTAACAGAGATAGGTCTCGTGAAGACAGCAAGAATATACGTCACGTAGAAAAAATGATTTTAATATATATTTATGTTTTATGTATTAATACCTGGGTATACATATAAGCTTATCATCTCTTTAATGTCAAATGATTACCCGCAACCTCTAAATTTAAATTGTAAGAATAAGTCTGTTCTTTTCAGCTACACTGCTGCACTGCAATAAGTTAGAATGAGACAAATATATTTTATTTCAGGCCTGTTCTTTGTAGTTGCACTGCTGAACTGGTGCAATATATTGAAGTGAAACAAATATACGTTTTCTCACTCTAACTTATTGCACTAGTTCAGTAGTGCAGCTACAAAGAACAGGCCTTTCATTTTAACTTATCGTATTAGTGCAGCAGTGCAACTAAAAAGAACATACCAAATTGCACAGATATCTATATTAAACTAGAGATCTGTTCTTTTCCCTGCACTAGGACTACACTGGAATTGCACTGGCACTGCACTATATTAGCACTGCACTGCATTACACTGTAACAGTATAGGAGTCCTGATAAAGAGGAAAAGAACATCACAGGACAGTGAATAACATGGCGCGTCACATAGTTCGAAATTGGGAATTAATTGATTCTTCAGATGAAGAAGAGATGCTTGTAATGTTGCAACCACCCTTAAAAATGCTACCCAGATAGCATAGATAATTAAAAAAGAATTCAAAAAGAATTCAATCGTATGTCACCAATTCTGAGTTCATTTTCAGATGTAAAAAGAATTCTTCAGAGTTTAGTTCAGTAAAAAAAATTTTTTTTCCCACACAGCACAGAAGTTTCAAAAAGCTTTCAGAAAGATTTCAAGAAGATTTCAGAAAGGTTCAATGTTTCTGAAACCTTTCTGAAAGCTTTTTGAAACTTCTTATATCTAAAATAATTATGTAAAATTACTTCTTATATCTAAAATAATTATGTAATCCATTTTATCTAAATAACTACAATCAAATCATAATTGCTTTAATTATATTGAATTTTACCTTAATAGGAATTTTACCTTACAGGTATTTCACTATTAAGTTATTATGCTGCTTGTTTATTTATTTGAGAATTCCAACCTATTCTTATTCGTGTACATCGCCATACCCTTATAGAAATATCATACTAAGAATCATTGATAATTACTTATTTTCAGTATTAAAAAGACTGGATAATAAGTAATTATCAATGATTCTTAGTATGATATTTCTATAAGGGTATTGCACTACACCGCTGCCCTAGCTCGAAACCTAGGGCAGGCAGTGCAGTGTTCTGTTGTACTGAGTATTACTGCACTGAGGAAAAAAACATCGATGATGATTCGTATGTACCTGACCGGAAAAAAAACTCCGATTGGAAAACTATTCTTTTAAATCGTTTGTATTTCGTATAAAGAGTTTTGAAATGCAATTGAAAAGATTTGTGAGTCATTCTATTACTTGTAATTTATTGTTCTCTTTTAAACCATGTATTTAGCCGGAAATAATGACCGGAGGTGAATTAAACAAAGGTTCGGTATGGTATTGTTTGTATTTCATATAAAGAATTATGAAGTATCATTAAAAAGGTTTGTGAGTCATCTAGATAATTTTAATTAAATATTAAAAAATCCTGTATTTGACCGAAATATCGATCTCAAGCGTTGCTGTGGAAGTACCGTTAGGCACGATCGGTGTACTATCTAGTATTTCAATACTCCTGGTTCTTTTTTGGGTAATTATGTACAATAAGGTCTTTTTCGAATTTTGATATTTTTTTGCAGCTCTCTTTTGGTAAAGATATTTATTTTAACTCCAACATTGATAATCAATCGGGGGAGTCTGAAAAATATGCAAGTTATGTATTGTTTTAACTTTTTTTTTCACTTCCCTTATAGAAATATCATACTAAGAATCATTGATAATTACTTATTATCCAGTATTTTTAACACTGAAAATAAGTAATTATCAATGATTCTTAGTATGATATTTCTATAAGGGTTATCAAACGTTGCTGCTTTCTCACAATTTAAACAAGTTACTGATTTTTTAATCACATTATGTAACTGCAATATCGAACGACTAGCGGGGCTCTCCCCGCACCCCCCTCAAAACTAACCCAACCTATCGTCACATTAGCCGTTAGACATTGTTTATTAAAAATTATTAAGAAAAAAAGTTGAACACTTTAACCCATACAGCACAGAAACACTGTAGAAACGTTGCAGAAATATTTCATTGCAAGATTACAACATAGCAAATACATTGCAAAATATAACTGTAACATTACTATGATGTTGCAGCAACAGTAAAATGTCCGGCCTTAGAAAGATTACATTGTAATGGGAGCGGTGCACTTGGACACGGTGCATTTGGACACAGCCAATCACAGCACCGTATGATTAGAGACATTTGTAGGGTCCCTTGGAACAGCGACTTGTGATTGGACTGTGTCCAATTGCCCCGTGTCCAACTGATATACACCCCATTGTAATACCATATATATGCATAGCAATATTGGAATGCAATATATATAT